AAAACTTTTCGCGCAAACCCGAAGTCAATATCTCAAACCGTTTCAAAATGGCGGCCGGTTAAAGTTCAAAATGGCCGAAAATTCACACCGGTTATTTGTCGATGGATTTGCGCGAAAATCGGTATGTAGGGGTATTTTGACACGAGAAAAACGAATTTGACGTTAGATTTTCAAAAAAACCGAAATTTCCAAAATGGCCGCCGGTTACAGTTCAAAATGACAAAAAATTGATTTTTTTAGAAATCTAAGTTCAAATTTGTTTATCTTATGCCAAAATACTCTCAAATTCCAAGTTTTAGGCAAATCCATCAGCAAAGAACCGAGGTGACAATTTTCGGCCATTTTAAACTTTAACCGGCGGCCATTTTGGAAATTTTGGTTTTTTTGAAAATCTAACGTCAAATTCGTTTTTCTCGTGTCAAAATACCCCTACATACCCATTTTCGCGCAAATCCATCGACAAATAACCGGTGTGAATTTTCGGCCATTTTGAACTTTAACCGGCCGCCATTTTGAAACGGTTTGAGATATTGACTTCGGGTTTGCGCGAAAAGTTTTCTTTTTTTATGCTTTTTGGAACGAGCTATCACAAAGGGGGTCTTCCTATTTGAAAATTAAAAGTTGGGGGCCGTTGCCCCCCAAGGGGGGCCCCCCTGAAAATTTTAGGGGGGCCAAAAAGTAGCTCCCCTTGACCTAGGAATATCCCCCAAGTTTCAAATCTTTACCTCAATTAGGTAAAAAGTTAGAGGGGGTGGAAGGGACTTTTGGATCACCCTGTATAGGAAAAAAGAAGCAACACATTGAAAAATGCTGTATTAAAATTCGAGCCATGCACCGATGAGTTATAGTTATTAAAGTTTGAGTCGTTTGAATTTTAAATTATTCGTTGATTCAGACAAATAGAAATCACCAGTCCCTTTCCAATGATCGTAAATTGAAAAAAAATGCGGCAAACTACTCGGATACTCCACACAAAATCTTACGAACGACCACACCAGCTGATTTAACCTAAAAAAACGTTCCGTACCGTCTCTAACCTGTACAATCAAAACTCGCGCTTGACATCGTTCTCGTCCAAATCACCATGTAAACAAAACAAACAACTAACCTCCACCTCCAAGTGTCAGATTGAGTTTTTTTATTTTATTTTATAGATTTCCATTTTTTAACCGTTCATCCACTCAAATCACAGTGCAATTCCTCTCCGAGCGATACTCGGATCGCCCAGCACCCATGACACCCCCAATCCAGGATCCAGGTTGAAAAGCCGCGAGGTAGAGATGTGCACCGACATCGCACCGTCCAACGCCTCAGCATCCATCAGCGACGTCTCGAGCGACCGCAGTGGAGCCTCGGGGAGCAACCAGAGTCGCACCTCTTCCGGCAGCAACTACGGTCGCAGCGACCGAAGTTGCAGCAACCAAAGTCACAGCAACCGAAGTCGCTTTTCCTCCGACAACGCCGGCGTCTTCCACGAGGACTACCAACGTCTTTGCCAACGGCACAAGCGACAACCGCTCAACTTCTTCAAGCTGGACCCCCGGAACGACAAGTACAAGCTGCGACTCTGCGCGGACAAGATCGTTTTCATGGACTGGGAACTGGTGATTGGTGCGCTGCGACACGACACCACCCTCTCGTTCGTCAGCGTGTCGAATCGTCGCGTCGGAATACTCAACTTCGGGGGTTTTGACAGTGTGGACACGCGGGAGAAAGCGCGGAAGTTCGACCGTCTGCCTGTGATCCTTACGCGGTTTATGATGCTCAAGTTTGTCGGTGCCGTCGCTCAGGTGTGATGCCATTCGTATAGTTTTCAATTGGATCGGCTCGTGCGAAAATGTTCGTTATACGATACAGGGTTTCATGAATGAAGTGGTTTCTTTTGCCTCACGACACCGATGAACGAGATGGATTTCTAGTAAACATTTGGTTGAATCGTGTCGTGTGAAAAACCGCTAATGTCCATTTTTCCAATTTCATATGTTGATAATATTTTTCAAGGGTTGATATAATCAAGAAAGTGGTGCTAATTATCTTTTTGAAATTAATATACCCTAAAGCGAGTGTTAACAATTTTTCACGGTTCGTTGTCATTCTGATAGTATTATCAACCCAAAAAAACTCAAGACTGAAAAAATTTACATTAGTGGTTTTCGTACGACAGGATTCAATTATGCTCACGGAATTTTTTTTTTTAACAAGATTGTTCTACATTCCTAACGTTTTAAGCCATCTTGTATCCGAAAGTTACGACGATATCGTCCACTCAAATTCTGAAACACTGTATTAGACATCGGACGTTTTTGCAAGAGAAGATTCAATTAGAGTACCATATTGAATGTTAGTAGAGTCTTCTTCTGATTCGTAGATCGAGTCCAATGAGACGCCTTTTTGCGACAATTAAAGTACTTATGAGTCGTTTGATGGTCCAATTTTTCCCCCCCCCGCTCTCTACACTTAGCATTTTGCTCAACACTTCTAGACGTGTGAAACAGATGTACTGACTGGATGTTGTGATTTATTCCAGTGTCTGAGCAAGTCAGGAGCATTGTGCGAGCTGCGCTTGGAAGGGCTGCCGCTGCGGGCTGACTACGTGGGGCTCCTGTGCAAGGGACTGTACCGAAACCCGAGTCTATCGCGGCTGGCGCTTCCGCACTGCACTCTGGGCGACGGGGGCTGCGAGGAGCTGTGCAAGGCGCTCAAACACCTGCCCAACGTCAAAGTGCTCGACCTTACGGCGTGCGGCTTGAGTTCCTGTGCCAGCGTCGTCCAACTCATCAAGTTTCAACAGCTCTGGCGCACCGGCCAGTGCTGGGAGCAAGGTGATAATAATTATCATTAATCAGAAATATTCAACAACGGAGATGTTGCATGTGTGAGGAATTTGCGATTTGACCATCGATTCTTATGTAAAAGTTCGCGAGATACACGATGGTGCCACTAGTTTTCTCTGAAATCAACCCCCAAACTCAAAAAAAGCTCTCAAGTTGAGGCCAAAATAAAGGGGATATCCCACGCTATCCTGTGAGTCCACCTCTACATCAAGACGAACTCTCCATGCAAAAATAGGGAGAAAATACACTGACCAGAGACAAGAAATCCTCCACTAGTATCTTGGCAATGGTGGAAGTTTTTACTTTCGGGACTCCAACATTCAGCTGTTTACCAACTTACTTGGTTGATGGTTAACAATGCGTTGGCGGTTTCGTTTCGCAAACTAACCGAAGTTTAGAAAACTTGTTTGGCTCTTGACGTCACCTAAAGCTCATCATCCACTATGTAGTTAGTTCAACAGCCGAAATAGAGTGATAACTGTTGCTCCCTTATGATTGTCCATCAGGAAGTGTTGAATCCCCGAAAGTCTAATCTTCCACTAGTCGCCAAGAAGTCAATGGAGGGTCTCTTGTCTCTGCCATTGACACGAACATTTCCGATTATATGCACTGGAAAAAAAAAACACATTGGATCTAGAGTCTAGACTCTTAAAAACATCGACAAGAAAAAATACTCTTGATTCAATCAGATCTAAGCTTAAATCAAGAACCAAGCCTCTTAATTTGAGCGGATTTCCTTTTGATTTAAGCTTAAATCNTTTTTTTTTTTTTTTTTTTTTTTTTTTTTTTTTTTTTTTTTTTTTTTTTTTTTTTTTCCCAGTGTGTAGGTGTTTTTCTAGTCTCAGGATTCAACTGCCACACTTTCTTGCAGGTCTCCGATCGCAGGAGCTCGACCCCGAATCCATCCCTGGGCTTCGGCGAGTGAGCCTCAACCACAACCCCATCGGCGACGAGGGCACCCTCCAGCTCATCGACTCCCTCGCCGACGACAACTTCATCAAAGCCGTCGACCTGCAGGACTGCCGCCTCACCGAGCGCATCGTCCCCGACCTCCTGGAGCTCGTCGAGGCCAACAACCAGCTCCTCGTCTTCGACGTCCGCCACAACGAGCTCGGCGACGCCGCCCTCCGCCGCATCGTCGCCCGCTTCCAGGAGGGTCGCGCCCCCTCGCGCCAGTGGCGCTGGCTCCGCGCCGACCCCGGCGGCACCCTCGTCTGGTACCCCTCCGGCAAGTCCCTCCGGAAGACCGCGTCCAGCCATCTGGAGATAAGTCTCTCGGCCTCGACAGATGTGACCTCCAGAGCCCAAAGCGCCTTGGAGCTCACGCAGTCTCGCGTGTGGAGACAGATGATCGTCGGTGATACCGAACAGTGCGGGTTGCATAACCACATGAATATGCAGTGCGGGTTGCATAACAATACGAATATGCAGTGCGGGTTGCATAGCGATACGAAGATGCAGTGCGGGTTGCATAACAATACGCGGATGCAGTGCCCGTCGACGGAGCAAGGTTTGAGTGCCCCAGCAGTCCTCCAGATGGCACTGGGGAGGCTTTTGGAGTTCGCCACGGCAGCCGAAAGTGTTGTGGGGCCCCTGGAGAGGACGGTGGAGTGCCACTGCGGTCGCGCTCCTGAGAACGTCTCGCTCGACGAGAAAAAAGGCCCTGTGGACCCTGGAGCACGTTCGGACGCGGATTTGGACAGTTTGATCACGCTCGACAGGATAAATGCCACGGTTCACAACCAAACCAGTTTGACAAACACCCGGACCACTGGCCTTGGAATCGTCTGCCCTTTGCACCCGAACGGTTTAACGACGGATGAAACTAGTTTGAAGGAGCCTCCTCCGATCGGTTCCTTGGGTGCAGTTTCGGTGGCCGATAGCGTGACGCAGACGATATCGGACGACGGAATGGAAGGTCAAACTAGTTTGAAGAGTTTGATGAGATGGCACGCGGAAGAGGGGACCGGACTGATCAGAGGCAGCGATGAGAGTATCCTACACGCCGTATTCTTGGGCCGAAAACGAACCAATAGGTCCGTTACCGATTCGTCAAATTCGAACTGCACCGTCAACAGTTCGAGCAACGAGAGCGATTCGTCCGGTTCTTCAAACTCGCGGTCCACGAGCACTTCGACGAATTTGAGCTCCTCCAGGGCCACCTTCGTCCGGCTCTTGCTCAAAAACAATAATTTGACGTCAAACTCGCAGGTCTCGAGTTGCAACCGAGTAACGACACAGAACGAGAGCAATGGTACATTGTTAACAGCAGTATCGTGATCGACAATTAGTTCAGTTAGTTAGTTCATTATTTTTCGGCGATTAAAAAGATGTCAATTTCATAACATGTTTAATGAATACGTCATTCAAACAAGAGGAGAACGCAGAACTCAGTTCATGACCGTGACTAAATCTTCCATGACAGTAAGGGTGCGAAAACTTTCTTTGCAGTTGTAATTAATTCTGAAACAATATACTTTTAGTTAACTATGTGGTGAAATATTACTCAATTAAAGCTTCTCTCGAAATTTCAACGAAAAGTACTTTGTGTAAAAGTTGAAATTGCCTTTTCTTTTGTGGGATCACTGTAATGAGCGGTTGACAGGACGAAAATTTCGACAAAAATCGCACCTTGTGGATCATATACTCAGCAATTCGAACAAATGACAAAAAAATGAACCCGATTTCTTGATATGATTCGTGATAGCAACGTTCATTGCACATGATGGGACGATTTTTGTCTTCATCCATTAAACAGCATACGAAAAAGGTAATTTTCAGTCCGATAAAATTAAAAAGAGTACCATCCACACTTTACGTTTCTTTAAAAATCACTTGAGCACTATCAATTCTTGGGGTTTTGAATATCTACGGCGGTCTAGTGCCGTATAGTTAGCGTATAAATAGTGTATAATAGTCTAAAATAAGAGGAGGAAATGGTTAGGTCATGCGATTGCTTTTTGTTATACTGTTAAGGTAAATCCAGGCTTCAAACTACGCGATTTGGCCACCACGTCGCGCTGCTCAGAATAGCCGTATATATTTGCCAAAATGATAAAAACCGTAATACTTATTCAAGATTGGGGATCCAGGGGATATAGCAACATACTTGAGGAACACTCAGTATAAAAATCTTCTCAAAATTCCCAAAAATAAAGTCGTGACTACGGCGGAAAGTAATTCCCATTGCGGCAATGGAAGAGAGAAATAGACAGAACATGAGGGATTCGGTTGCGCACTCGGCCGCAGCCGCTGAGCTGAAAGTTTCAGCCGTACTTTCTCTGAGCTTGTGATTCTAATTGTCAATATTTTTGGCTCAAAAAATCAAGCAGAAAATGATCTATATCTTGTGGATCTGCTTTTTGTAATTTGAACAATATTATCTCAGTAATCGTTGATGGAAAGTGAAATTATCAGTGGTGACTGGTGGCGCTATCTCTAATCTTGAAGTATCCCTAATCGAACCCTGGATTCACCTTAAGACGCGAGTAACCTTGGAAAGAAAAGGGCAGTCCCGTTCACATACAAATGCGATGCCGCTACCGCTACGACGACGTCTAGATGCGTAAAAAGCGCCTTCAACTGGGATCACCGCAACATTTCACTCACTCCCGCGGGTTGACCTAATCTCGCTTTCTCACGTGGTACATATAGAACGACTCCGAGCGAGGTCGTTCGATCCTCTTCCACACTTTGTGAGTTGTGACACAAAAATCCGATTATTCTCGCGAGGAATGATGAAGGTTGCAACATGTAATGTTGAAAGAAAGCCTCTTTTGAAGATATTCAAATGTTCTATGGCCGTATCTATGGTCTGTGGTTAAAAATAAGCAATTTAAATCGAATCGACTGGTGAGAAAAATACGTATGAAGTTTTGACATTTGTGTCTAATTTTGAGAGAACTGCAAAGAGCTCTACAAGCGTGTAATTTAAAGAATTAAGAAGTGCCCAAAAGCTAATTATTGCAGCATTTAATCGTATAGAAAAAGGTTATTACATGTTTTCAGCTCCCTTAATAGGTAAAACGAAGTAATTTAAATGAACGGAAAGTGAAAATCAGTGGCGATTTTACAAATTGGCAAAACTGCTTTTCCTTCATTTAAATCCACTTAAAGTATCGATTTAAGGTGAGGCAAGCTGCCTGGGCGAGAGTCGATTGTCTTACATTCATTTAAATGGGGGAAAAACAATGTTGCCAAGTTTTAAGAATCGCCACTCACTGGTAAAAAAAAACCTCTTGGTTCAAGAATGCAGCTTCTTGTCGCCGGATTTAAGAGGCTGGACTCTTGTTTCAATGCAAAATGCGCTTGAAACAAGAGTTCAAGACTCTTAAATCCGGCGACAAGAAACTGCACTCTTAAGTCAATGCAACGCGGCATTGGTCCAAGAGGTTTTTTTTACCAGTGTGGTAGAAATTAGTCGTTTTCGGATGAATTGAAATCCTCAAGTTAAGAAGCTATTCAATCTCTTCAAAACTGTATTCCAAAAATATAAAATTACTCAGATTTTAATCTATACAAAATATAAGGACGAAATCCCTCAAATGTTGGACTGGTAAAGAATTCATGAAGAAGGTGGATGGAATGAACTTAACATTGAACAAACTTGAAATAAAGTTGTGATCATTAGGATACCTTGTACACTGGAAAAAAAAAATATATTGGATCTTGAGTCCAGATTCTTGAAAACATTGACAAGAAAGCATACTCTTGATTCAATCGGATTTTTGCTTGTATCAAAACGAAAGCCGCTGAAATCAAGAGGCTTGGTTCTTGATTTAAGCTAGATTCTGATTGAATCAAGAGTACTTTTCCTTGTCAATGTTTTTAAGAGTCTGGACTCGAGATGAAATATGTTTTTTTCCAGTGTAATAGAACGCGATGCTTGAAAAAAAAGTGTGAAATCTCGAATATAGTTTGTCGGTCATGCTGTGGACGGCAGACTGAGACTTCAATATGGACGCATTTCTGCCAAACGGAACTATGTGCATTATGACGTGAGCCCTGTTATGCGTGTTTTCTTATGGGTCTCAGGGCTCACGTTATAATGCACATATAGTTCCGTTTGGCAGAAATACGTCCATATCTGCTTCGATGTCCAGGAGTTAATGACGAACTGACGACACAGTATGCCCGGCAATTTTCGCGGCGAACCCAGTGTGCCAATGTCGGCATCGCCAGCAACTAGAAACATTGTCAAATGTAAAACCATCATCGGATTCCTCCGCATACGCGAAAAATTGCCGGGCTGGTAATCCTGCGGAAAGGGCTCAGCGCATTCTCCTACGTGAGGAGGACTGGGTGCGCTGATTAGTTCCTTCGGACTGCCGCGCCGCACAGTGGATCGGGTCAATGGGAGAGGTCGGACAAAATTTGGAAACTTAAACAGCTTATAACTCCGTATGGACAAAACTTTGAAATTTCAAAAGTGGTTCTATTGGTTTCCTCGTGAAATTTTCTTCTGGAAACACCCCTTATTATTTAAAATGTGACGAATTAAACATCAAAATTTGCAGTTTTAGTCAAATTTTGGTGTCCGACCTCTCTGAATTACTCGTTCTACTGTGCGCCGCCGCGCCGCGATTGGATTATACACATGATGCTAAAAAATGTTGCAAAAAACGGCGAAAAGTTAAGTTTTGGAACGGCGAATTTATATTATAAATACCCTGTACCAACTGCTTAAGCAATGGATTCATGTGAGGCAAAAGTTGTGCGGACGTTAACGCTATTCTGTCCTCTTTCTGCCCTCTCTCTCCCCCCTCCTTTTTCTTCCATTTGTATATTACCTCACGTTTCCCTTGTTTTTCCGGCGCATTGCATGAGTAAAGGATTGAAGTTTGAAAAGTGGCCGCTGCTCCACGTCTGGTAAATCTCGGACACTGTTGCCAGATCTCACATGGATGTATTTCAATTTTACTGAATTTTCCAATTAAATATCTTCCGTGAAGTAACATAGCGTTATAGTTTTAAACGTAATGAGTATTTTTTTTCAAATTCCGCAAACCTCTAAAGGAAGTTTCGACCACTTTTCGGAAAGTCAAAACTATGCAGAAAATTACGGAGGCGGGAGGCCTTGATCAAGTTACATCCCTGCGATCGGTGCATGTAGGTCTCGAAGAACGATCAAATTTCCAACCCATTCCGACCAAAATAGACCATTTGATAACGTTTGGTCACCATAAACACCGTACTTTGATCGGAATTGAACGGCCCAATTATGATAAATCTGCAGGACGGGGTGGCCCGTCCTGCAGAAATCCTGGGAAATCCTGATTTTTGACATCTAAATCCTGATTTCATAACTTCTCCAAATCCTGATTTTTTGCGGAGAAAAATTAAAATTTCTACATAAGCTTATGCGAAAGCAGAACTCTAAAATTTCGGACGGCCGACTTTTCTCAAATCCTGATCTTACGACCGATTTCCCCTCAAATCCTGATGAAATCGGAACTAAATCCTAATTAACCTCAAATCCCGATTGAATCGGGAAAATCCTAATGCTAGACACCCTGCTCACTGTGCATTGTGCCTGAGTAGAACTTGCTCATCATCAGTGCGGCATCACGGGCTGGCGGTTGGGGCGCAATGAGCAACATAACCTTAAAGCGACGCATCCGTGCGTGAGAGCGTTCGACCGGGCACTCAGACTCTCCCACGCTTCCATCCTTAGACACACGAACCCCAAGTCTAGAGTCGCCCGATTCTCGGCCCTGCCTCCAGCGCTTAATTGCATCTCCGCAGGGCTACTCGAAAATGCATCTCAACAGCTCCGCACGCCGATCTTTAGACGTGACTCCGGGACGACAGTGACTCCGTTGGGGCTTAGCTCAAGTTGTCAATCCTCTGACGTAAGGGCGTAACTCGATTTTCATGTGTGTGTGATCATGTGAGCCCTGAAAAGCGTGAAGCTAAATGAACAACAGGGCTCAAGTAAAAATCGAGATACGCCCTTAGGATAGAGAAGCATCGAGGTGGACGCAACTCTCATAGAGTTTTCCCATACTACTGTGCAGTAGAAGAGCATACAGAGAATGGGAATGGGTCTCTACAGTGTTGGGGAAATTTGCAATTTAAGGATTAAGTTTCATGTAAAAGTTCGCGAGGAACGATATGGTCGCTGATTTCACCGAATCAAAATCTAAAAACATCCTCAAAAAGTGGACCAGGGTGCGGAGGGAATCTCCTCCGTTGTAAGAGATCTTTGAATCCAGTACAATTCTTCATGAACCCATGGGGAGCAAATCCACACATCACGGTGGTTACCACTTTGCAAGGCTACAACCGTGGCAACCCTCCTGACTAGTGCTGATGTATTTGCTCTCTATCTGTGCATGGATAAGCATTTGAAGGACTAACTTTGAGAACTTTTTTTGAGTTCGGAACTATGGTTCGGAGAAAATTAGATCACATTAGATCTAGAGTCAAGACTCTTGAAAACATTGACGAGAAAAAATACTCTTGATTCAATCGGATTTTTGCTTCGATCATAAGGAAATCCGCTCAAATTAAGAGGCTTGGTTCTCGATTTAAACAAAAATTC